GGGGGGGTGGTGGTGGGGGAAGTGGTGTGTGTATATATATAAAAAAGACTATTCCTGCAAATAGGGGCACCCTACCACATTGCAGCATAGAGAGCAAGCTGTGTTACATTTAAAGTAATGTTTCACTGCAATCCAGTAACACAACCTGCACAGGGATAGCTTCTCATCTCTGGGGATCCAAACCTTTGGATTCCTGCCTTTTCCAAACCACCCGAAGCCTCTGTGAAGTTTCCACCAGGCAGACTTGTTTGTCTTGCCATGAAAAGGTTAGTTCCAGTAAGTTAGTGCTGTCATTGTCCTAAAAGATTGGTGTTTGTTCTCTGTTTTAGAAGCATGCTTGGGCTGCCCTTTCAACAGGCCCGAGTGAAATAGTTTATCTGGCTTTGCTGTGTGTTTGAAAAAGCAAATTTTTTTTGTACAAGTAAATGGCCATGCTTGAAATACTGCAGTCCTTGCAACAAAAATATAAAATCCACCCCCAAAAAATACAAGGCTTGGTGAGAAGGCAGTTTTGGGAAGAGAACCAGGGTGTTCCATCCACAATGCTGACATTTGAAAAGGATAATTTTTGTGCTTGCTTTTCTTTTGAACTGTTTAACCTGCCCCACTTACTACTATTGAGGATTAATTTCACAAATTAATATTGGACTAATTCTTCTGGTGAAGTATTGGTATTTAGAGTCTCCTGAACTCACTGTCATGCTTTCCTCTGTTTTCAGGATACTGGGGTTGGGAAATCGAGCATTGTTTGTCGATTTGTCCAGGACCACTTTGATCACAATATTAGTCCTACTATTGGGTAAGTACCACATATAATATCATTTTTCTTCTATAGATTTTTAACCTTACTGCCCTCAGCTGAACTCCTTTCTTTTCCTTACTTTCAAGGCTCTGAATACTGTGTATCTTATTTTCTCCAGTTGTCAATCTCACTGAACCCCTTAGACTCCTTTTAATGGCCTTCAGCTAATACTACCTGTTTAGAGAGTCTGGGGCTGCTCAAAACCAGGTCTTCTCTTTTCTCCCTGTTCTGGGAATGCTGAGGTAGCCTCAACTTACTGTATTGCAGCATATTCTGTTCTGGAGAGGCTGACAGTGCTCTGCCATTCCCCTCCTGTGAGTGTTGTCTCTTGAAATCGATGTATGTTGGGCATAGCCATGGCTTCCAGCTGTTCTGTTTTCTTTTTCTTCACTACCTTACACCAAGAAATTCTTAGATGTCTTACTTGTCTGGTCTCTGTTTCTTTTTGTTTTGCCAAGACCTTTCCACTTCAGATTATGTTTTGGTCATAGGACCTTAGGATTAAAATCAGTTTACTTTTCACTGGTTAATGAGATATCAAATCTGATCTTTGGAGCTTGAAGGACCAAAACCCTACAACACCAAGGGGCCATGATCTGCACAATGACCAGGACACCCCATGATTGAATAATGTCAGGAGAACTGTGGGGATCCCTTTCGCTTACTTGTGTTCTGTGCCCTGCCAGGCTGGGCTGGAACATGGAGAGTATCTGTTCCCAGATGTGGACATACTTTCATCTTGATTTAGGACATGTTACATTATCCTGTCTTTCTTCAAATAGGAGCAATGCCATTTAAACTAAATATAATTAATTCACACCTGCTCTTTAAAAACTGCTAAGCTTCAGTGTGTTAGACAATCAGAAGCCTATTAGTCCTGATTTTAATTTAAATTATTTTTCTTTTAATATCTTAGGAATGAACCTGGCAAGTCCAATGTTACCTGGAAAATTCTGAAAATTCTTGATCTCTTTTGGGAAAGGAAACTGTTCACAAAAGTGTAATTTGGGTGGGAAGAGCTGATCTGGCTTGTGTGTTAGAGCTGTTTTAAATTGTCTGTTGAAGGATTGGTATTGATTGCTGTGTATTATTCAGAGGGCTAGACAGTGTCTTCCAAAGCTCTGCCTTTTGATGCATGAAGGAGTCTCAGCTGGAAGTTGCACATTGAAGTTCCAGGACAATGTTGGACTCCTGAATGTAATGAGTAGAGAAAAATGGACAGAGAGAAAAGGAAGCAAGTAATGAATAACATTATTGACTGAAGGACACTTGTTTGCAGTGAAGGAATTGATTGGAACTTGAGTGGTTCTTTACTTCTAAGCCATCAGCAGCCTTTTTCCCCAAGTAGTTTTTGCTAAGTAAATGTCTTCTGGTAAAATAAGAAAAAAAACCTCAAACCCAAACCTTTACATTTTAATAATTATGATAACAGAGGGAAAATACTTTTCTCTTTGAAGGTTAAAATGTGGAGGCTAGCTTGCATGCAGTTGGTTTTACATGTCTATATAGATAAGGTTTTTGGTTTTATTTTTTCCAAATTAAATCTTTTAAATATACAGTCCTTTCAATCTATAGTAGCTATCAAGTCTCTAAAGTTCCTGTTTTTGAAGCTGTAAAGTGTTGCTTAATGCTTTGAGAAAAAATGTGACAAATGAAAACAGTCTGAAAATAACCAATAAAAATGGTGTGGTTGTTTTGCCATACTTAATATTTTTATGAGGAATGCAGCATTGGTAATTTGTGCAATTTGAAGATGGCTTTAGAGAACTCTGCTATATCATTCTCAGGGAATGTTTTGATCGTGTATGTCATTAGATGCTTTTGTAATAAAAATGCATAGTATCAAATGCATTTTTATGAGCCAGGAAAAAAAGTTACCACAGCAGAAGTTGCTCAGCAGTGTCCAGATAAGATGGGAAGAAAAAAATATAATTACCAGAATTAGGCAGTAGCTCCTACCCAGCTTTCAATTGAAGTGCTGCCATGTAGAAAAAGCTTAAGTATATGTAACCCTCTTTCCTAAAAGAAGAAAAATCACAGTGTAAAACACAGACAAATCACATTTCCAACAAAAAAATACAAGAACTGCATTCCTTACAAAAAATACAAGAAAGCACAAAGATGTCTTCATCTAAGTTGAGAGGGAGAAGAACTTTTTTCCATTTGTTCATATGCATTCCAGCAGATAATTTGTCTGTTCCCTGGTGATCCGGTCTGCTAGGTTTAACTGAAAATTACACATTCGTTGCCTGGTATGGTGCTGGCTAATGCCTTTTTGTCTGGTCCATATCACTGAGAAGATGAAGCTAGTTAGCAGCAGAAGCCAAATGTGAGTGGCAGGAGTATTCTGAACATCAGAGGCTTTTCCCTTCTTTTAAAATACTTCTATAGGTATCATATTTTATCTGAGAAAAAGAGGATTTTCACTTCTATAGGCTTCTATTATCTTAATTTATAATGGTTTTGGGTTTCCCCATAGGCAGTCTAACCCAGCAGAACTGGCTACGGTCTATAGGTTGCATATTCAGAGTTTCAGTCTTGTTATTAATTTCTGCTGCTTCCTTCTTTTCAGAGCATCCTTCATGACTAAAACTGTGCCTTGTGGGAATGAGCTTCATAAATTTCTAATCTGGGACACAGCTGGTCAGGAACGGGTGAGTATTATTTTACAATATGTCTGTGTTATCTTGGTATCTTTTAATGTGTTGACGTACTTCTTATAAACTTTTCATCTTCAGAAGACTTTGTACGTATAAGCCCACTGAATCTTCACAAGGCTCTGCGAAGCAGATGGTCAGCAGTTGTCAAGTATACAGGTTCTTATTCCACAGGTGGGGAAAACGCAGTGGCAGGCTGGCCATACCACTTACCTAACAAAAAAAAACCCCAAAACATCTAATGTGAATTGTCAGCCACTTTACTCAAGACATCTTGGGCAATGCCCAAGCAGTCACCAGCTCCCCTCTGATTTCATCAGGTTTACATGTGGCAGCTTTCATTGACATTGGAAAGCACTTGACTTCCACCCCATGGGCTGGTGCATGGTCTGAGCATAGGTTGTGGTGACTCCAGACTTGTCCTGAGTTGGGACATTGAGTCCAGGCATGGATTGTGACTCTTGTTAATATTTTGGAAATGAGTACTGGAAATCTGAACTTAGGGTTTTCATCTTGATTCTTGAAGTGCATTAAGTGAAAACCCATAATGGCATGGATATCAGTTCATACTGATCATACGTAAGCCTGATTGGTCATTTATTTCTTTTAATAGCCTCAGTGGCAGTAGTATGCAGTAATAAGCTAACTTGTCGAGTTCTTTTAATATATACCCGTATTTATCTTTAAAAGTTTGAAAGAAATGGAAAGACCCATGTAAGCATTTTAAAATACATCCAGACTTCCTTGTGAATTACACTATTGCTGTTCATAGAAAAATGTAGCTGTACTCATGTTAGGTTGAGGTAAAAAGAGATGCTTATACAGGCTGTAGTGTCAATACTGATACATCCCACTGTATTGTCTATGACTTGTATGTGAATTGCCGGCAATGAAGATTTTTACTGTTACGTGCAGGAAATGCTTGTGCTTTTATTTACAATGCCCAGCATGATGTTAAGTGGCCTTGATGAAATCTTTTGACTCGTAGCAATTTAGAATGTTATTTATGATGGGAAAATGGATATTGAAAAACATATTTGAAGTACAGCGTCATTTTTCCCCTTGAATCTTGTTTGTTCCATTTCTGCATAGTCTGGAGCTGATAACTTACTAATTATTGCAAGAGGTAGCAAAGGTTCAGTTTTCTTTCCCATGGCTTGTATTTCCTTGCTTATTCTTTCTCTCTCTCTTCACTTCACTGCCCCTCTCTGCTTTCTGTTATGTTGTGTGTTTTTTTAATTTTAGTTCTTTAGCACACAAAACTCAGTTCCTGATATTTAGATAAAAGTATTAACCTATTTTCCCCAATAGTCTTAAGTGTCTCAAAGTTTTTTAAAGTAGGTGATTATGAATAAAGTCATATTAACTGAACTAAATGGTGGCTCATTAGAGGCAGGAAATCTGTGACAGAGCTCTGACTCTTGGACACCAAATCCATCCTTCCTATCTAGTCCCATATGTTTCCTCTCAATTTCTTTTTTTAAGCTCATTTTTCAAACATCTGCTTTCCTTTTTTTTTTCCTTTTTTTTTTTTTTTTTTTCAACAATGTCCGACAATGATGAGCAGTGACCACCAGAAACCTTGTTAAATTACTCAGAATCTATTGCTGATAAGTTATGTTACAGGTTTTCATGTGCAATCGTGAATTCTTACCTCTTTAGGTCAGGGACCGTATTTTTCTTTTGTATCTGCACAATGTATTTCCAAACCTTCACTATGACTCCAGGAACCTGGTTTGATACAGTAAATAAAGTTGGTGAGTGTTGAGTGCTGGCTACTGAGGCAGACAAGTTTCCTAAAGTCAGGTTCATCCTGTTTCAGGTAATTCTTTGTCCTGGCACATTCCCATTTTACAAACACATGATGTTAATTTTAATTTGTATTTGTGATTCTAGTTACTTTGTCTTCTTTGTATTGTTCCTTCTGATCTGCTATTTGAAACCAATGTCTTCCCCTGTTAATTTTTTTCTTGTTACCCTGTGAACAACAGTGATGACCCAAAGCTTCCAGGCTAACCCAACCTCTGGGCCTGCTGCCTTTTTTCACATTATACTAAGAAATGTCTGCTGAGCTGTGTGTCTTTTTGAGAGCTATTGTCCTTGCCTCATTCTTTGTTATTTTTGTTGAGGCTTTATGTTCCAGTGTTAAAGGCTGGAAGTTTTGTCAATACCCTATATTGCTGACAAGAGTGCTTAGGACTTCCTGGACTTTCAACATGGCCTTCCTTTGGTTTGGTTCTTCTAAATGCAAGGCCAAGTACAGAACTTGTTGTGCTTGTTCTGGAATGGGTGCACTCTGCTTCCTCACCTGTGCCAGCTGTGTCTGTATCCGTATGCTGAAGTGGAGCCTCCCCCTTTTGTTGCTCCCTTTTGCTTCGCAACAGAAGAGCCTAGAGTGAGATTTAACTGAAGCCTTATTACAACTTGAAAGTTAAGCTCAAACCTTAACCATGGTAGAGCAGACAGGTGGTAACAATAACAGCAGCACTTCTGTGCTCCTCGCTCATGAGTTCTCCTTTTTTAATGATTTTTCTCTTCCTTATTCTTCAGTTTCTCTAGGCAGCAGAGTGGGACACTGCCAGCCTGGAGAGTGTAGAGAAACCACTCTTAAATATCTTATTTGCATGCCTTTATTTATGCAATGCTCTGTGAGAACCAATGTGCCTCCTGGCTGCCTTCAGTCAGCTGGGAGAAACTGGAAATTCATGTGGCTGCTTCTCAAGGGAAGCCATGTCCTGTGTGCTCAGAGAAGCCAGCTGGAAGGACTCAGCACCCCCTTGAGGCATTAGATCAACTTGTAATGTTGCAAGCCTTCAGAAATGCTGGTCATTACTGGGTCTCCAAGCTTGGAGGAGTACTTGGGTTTGTTGAAGACCCTTAATACACAGGCCAGTCAATCAGAAGTTGGTCACAGAGAACAGATTCATATGGACATTAGATACAGTATTTTATTTATTTTGTGCCAGAAAACTCAGAATCGTAGACAGAATAGAGAAGGAACCAGGATTGCCTTTTAATGCAGAATAACAAGCAAGTATCACTTCTGCAGAATGACAATAATGTGGCAGAAAACAGAGCTCAAAAATGCTTCTATCATAGCCTTGATGGGAGTGAAAGCTCAGTGTGCTTCCTGGAGGAGACCCTGGAGAGGGCTGCCTGGCTCTCCAGCAGTTCTCACTTTGGAAAATGCAAATTGTACTTGATTACAAAAGGAGAGAGCTTGTTAATCCTTTTACCTTGTTTGTTGTTGTTTCTTTTTCCTTTTTTGGGTAGGAAGAACCTTCAACTGACAACATACTTAGGAAAATCCCCCCTGCTTTTCTGTGCCTAAGTACTGGTCTCTGCAGACCCAGTCGGGTTGTGTTGGTGTGCTGTCTGTCAGACAAGCTCGCTTTATTCTGTTTTTCAGGCACTTTTCCTCCAGCCTGCCAATTTCCAAATGTAATTTCTTTTCCCTATCTCACTTTTTCCCCATCAGCTTTAAACTGTTGCCATGGATTTCAGGACTTAAATGCCTGACAATTATGTTATTGTTAGCGAAGGTTCCCTCCCCTAAGAAGAGTTTCTTCACAAGTTAGTTAATGATGTTTTTATTAGCATATATTTTGGTTCATGATGCTCTAAGTGGCTTCTAATTACAATGCTTGGTTTGAATACCTTGGGTGGCTGCCAGTTTTCCATTTTGCCAGCTGAGGAATATTGCAGCAAATAGTTAGGGAGCCTGAGGGCCACCTTTCTGGGGCAGGAAAATTTATCACTGTCCTTTTAAAATGTACTGTATTGGACTCTGGGGTTTTTAATTTTGTTTAATAGAAGGAACCTCAATTAGTTCCTTAAAACTTGATAGGAATTGCCCTGAGTTGTGGGGCTTTCTTTTTTTTAACTGCTTCATTTCCAGGAAAAGGTTGACTGATGGGATGTCTACAGCACTTTAAGGCCCCCTCTTTTCTGAGCAACAGTTGTGATGGTTCAGAGGTAGTGTCACAAGGTAGGGAGTGAAAGTCCTCGCCCTTGAGAGGACTTGTCCTTGCCATAGTCTTGACTTGGATTTTCCCCTAAACTGAGAAACCTAATAACTGAGCTTATGGATGTTTTCTCTGAAACCAGACTCCTGAGAAAAGTCAACACCATTTATCAATGACTTGAATTACTTCTGCAGTCAAGACGTGGCCTGTATTTTTCTCTACAGTTTTTATAGGTGATTCTGATAGTAGGCCACAGCTCAGTCAGTGGGGAGGTGGTTCCCTGTACATGGTGTAAGGACCTCATCACTGTGAGCTACTGCCAGCATGCTGCAAAGGTCAGCAGGTGATTTGGTAATAGGTCTGTTTGTGAGAGCACAGGTGGCATTAGAGCTAGTAAGTGAATATATTATTTTTACTGTTTTTAGAGCAAAGCCTGCTAAATAATTTAAAAGATGCATGTGGATGTAAGCTTCAACAGTCTTGTAGTGTGTGTAGCATGACAGTGAGACGTGGTTTAGATGTAGTGCCTTTTGCATCCTTTGTTTAATGACTAAAGAAGGGCTGAGCAGAGGTCACTTCCATGAAGTTGCAAAAGTTTGTTTTGTGCTTATTTAAAAGAACTTTAAAAGATGATCCTAAAGTGTTGTTTTCCTCTTTAAGAATTTTCACATATTTGAGAAAAATACTCATTCTTTTATATACACACACACACAGCAGTTTAACTAGCAAAAAATACCTGTAGGTCTGAGACGGATCATTCCTGATTTATTCAGCTTGCAAATCCTGAGAACTGGAATCTCAGCCTTCAATCATGTCGGGAAAACCACTCAAGGCTATAAAATGCTAAATGGTATCTGATAGTGGCTTTCATGCATAACATTTTTCCGTTTGCCCTTTGCCAGCTGAGAATGTCAGGAATTTTGTATCCCTCCCTGAGCTGCTTCTTGTGCGAGAAGCTTATGTTTCAGGATAATCTGTTTGACACTTCTGGTTTTTGCCTTTGCTTCTCTCTACACTATTGAGCTTCTGTTT